AGGGTGCAGCGGTAACAGGAGTGCCATTTCTGTGGGAAAAAATTCTTCGCGTTTTGTGAACTGGTCCGGCATTGTAAAAGAGTACACACTATGGAAAAATAGTAGATTTTACTTACCGTAGGTTTCTTGGCTATAAAAAAGTTTCCACTCAGCCAAGACAGTTCGTTCCCAATTACCTTCAAAGTTTATGACAACTTTAAACTTTAGAAATATGGGTTTGCATGGAAGTGGGTGCGAACTGTGTGGGCAAGGTGGAAACCTTTTTACAACGAGATTTTGTGCACTAACTAAATGCATTCAGCAAGAATATAAGTTGTGTCTCTGACCGGAGATAATTATCCAACACGTGGTGATAATATGGATGATAAATTGTCTCCATGATGCATATGCTTGTCTCCTTGTAGTGATAAATTATAACTCTGAGGAGGTAAATACGTATACATTTTATTTCTTTATTTATTGCATCGAGATTAGATTTCTTCACATAAAATTAAATTATATAATCTATTTTTGTATAAATATAAACTACTTATTGTTAGAGTATTATTGTGTCAGAATTGAATTTGAGTTGAATTTAATATTTAATTGAAAATCGACTTTAACTGCAAATTTGTAATGAGAAGTGATGTGTCAAAGTTAACTATTTTGACATAAATATTTTACCCCATTAGGTCAACACGTTTGGCGACGAGTTCCTTTATCAAAGTTGAAGACGGCTGGGAAGGCATACATTCTCTTCATTCAGTCTGCTAGTTGTCTTCATTTGCATAAATCTCACTATTCCCATTTTCGGCGATATGGGGCTTCCCATGTTGAATAAACTCTATGTCTCTCGCGAATGCGTCAAAATATGCAAATGAAGACAATTAGCCGACTGCATGAAGAGTTTATGGTTTTCAACAATTTGTGATTCTCGAGCTAGATGCTCCAGTTTATTATTCTCCTGAATTTATATCCGCGAGGAAACAAAGTACTTCCAGAGAGGATATAATGTTTGTTACCTTCAATGTTGGTAATTTTGGTGACAAATTTATTACCTGATGGGAGACAGAGGCTGTCACCATCTTAGGGTAGTAAAAATGGTAACGATTTTGTTTGAAAATTATTGAGAGTGTACGTTACAAGATTTCGAGCACCTCAGTTACTCCCTGCATATATCTGAGCGACGAATACCTACTTTATCAATTATCTCATTGCAGACAAAATGATACCTATATATGAATAAAGGTAAGTTTTATAAATATTTTCATGAACAGGTTTCAGAAAGGAAGGGGCCATTCATTAAAAGTGAAAAGCATTTAATGTTCGAAGGCTTCTTGAGAAAAAAAGGTCAAAAGTAAAAGCATCATTCCTATGCAGTAGGATTGGTCGAGATCTTAATATATATATAAGCGCCAACAAAAAAATCTTAATGCACGGCCCGGCAATACTTCGTGAAACAAATCAGAGCAAGGATTTCTTGGAATAATATATGTATTTATTTGGGAGAACGAAATGAATATCGTTGCCGTAGATCCATTGTGTGCCAAGTTGAAAAGCAGTTGGAAGCATTATGCCAAGTCTTATTTGATTAACATTGAACTTAGTGCATAATGGTTCCAACTGCTTTTTGACTTGGCACATAATGATTCCAACTGCTTTTTGGCTTGGCACATAATGATTCCAACTGCTTTTTGACTTGGCACATAATGATTCCAACACACATAATGATTCCAATTCACATAATAGATGTATTGCTGGATGTACTGCAAACGAGGATGTATGCACGATATACTGCAGTAAGGTAACAGAAAAAAAGTTGTCCTGATGCATACTTCATCGTGATTACTTGTACCCCGTGGGCCATTCATAAAGGATATGACCGGATTTTATTTTATTATATTAATTGATGTCGACAAAACACGCAGATCTAACAAAATTCACCCCAGAAATAAATGACGTCATATAAGAACAGCCCCTTCGACTTTTCCACCACATTTTACCATGACAAATCATGTTCTGGCAAAATTAAGAGGAAGAAAATCATATGGCTGTTTACGTACTCACTCACCTTTTTAAGTGGTCAATAGATTTGGTTAATGATATTTATTCTTTCGCAAAAATTTTACAAAATTACGATAATTCTGCAAATAATACTCTATACGTATATTTCTAAAATTTCTAGAGCATAAATGATTCAATCGCCTAACTTTACTTTAAAAATACTTTGCGATTATAAGTCCAGGTTATTCCAGATGCAAAAGACGGATGAATTTGAAAATTCTAAAAAAAACTACATATGGTGACTACAGTTCTGGTCACGAATTTACGACACTAGTATTTTTAAGATATTTTAAGAAATATATAACCAAAGTCATTGAAATTTTTAATGCTAAGTACTTCTGCCTCTGCTAACACAGTAACACGTGCAAAGAAAAATATTTGGTTTATTCGAATTAGTTGTAAAGTTGCAGGACATTCATTGTTTTTTGAGTTGGACACGAAATTACACCTATTTTCTCCTTGAAACATTCATAATTTTGCAACGAGATTTGGGTGGATTTCGAATGGGAATTTTTTATTATTAACTACAACCCATGCTGCAATTCATATGCAAAGATGAAGCAATTATTATTCATACTTCGGGAGTTATAGGGTCATGGGGCGAAAGATAGCGTTGACTAGCGTGGAGAAGGCTAAGATCGATATTTTAAAAGGACAAGGAAAAAATCTTAACCAAATTGCGAAATATTAGAAAGATCTATAGATCTTTCTAATATTTCGCAACCGGAGAGGGATTTGGGGAAAGATACTTGTGGGAGGGTGCACTCTGTGTACTTTGCATCAAAATTATAATGAATCATTACTGCGCGGAGTGCATATATGACTCTACCGTGGATGGTAATATTATATTGCTGCATGGAGTTGAATTGTTATAGCGGCAGTAATGAATCAACATACTTTTATATTGATTCATTACTATAATACAATATTACCATCCACGGTAGAGTCATATATGCACTCCGCGATGATTCATTATAGTTTTGCTAAGAGTGTGCTCGTAGTGTTTGTCATGAAGAGTAAATTGCCCTGGCAATGTTTAAATAGTTGGAGGATGTGGAAAAGTTCTGGAAACTGGTGGATCGTCATGTTTCGTGAATATACAGGTAGATAACTTTGATAGGTTCTGTATACTGTTAATATCGATTTGAGTGAGTAGGGAGTATGTATTATCAGTTTTATGTATCTATGTACAGACTATTTATATCCTGTTATTGTCCAGGTAAAACTTCATTTCTGGGATGAGTGTGTTATCGACAGGGATGGGCAATCCCAACAATTTATATGGATTACGGATTACAGATTAATTTATTTAAAAATTATCATGGGATTACTGGATTGGGATTACTTCGCCCTTAAAATATGGTGGATTACTTGTTGGATTACAGGGATAAATTAGTATCATGGATTACGGATTTCAGTAATCAGAATACGGATTATTATCTGGATTACAAAAAATCAGATCTATTCTAAATAACGTCACATTGGGTGGCATACGGCAAAATAAATATCATATCGTTTTTGCTCGTCTAAAATCAGTTCAAAATTACATGTCTCCCGTGTTTTCAATATTTGTGACATGTGCAATTTAACCTTCAGTGACATTTATGTCACCCTAGAAGTCATAATGGACGTCGCTATTGAATTTTTCTTTAAAGTTGCATTCAAATTGATATACTGACATTGGTATGCACTTTAACAATGTGAATTGTTTTTGACCTTGATGGGTGACCTACAGTGGCCATGCCCCTTGACGTTGGGAATTTACGTTCAAAGCTTTTATGACTCTTCTTTTATGCGTTATCGGACAGACTGACATAACGATCTTATAAAAGTCTTTCCTTAATAAATTACGTTACAATTTCGATGCAAGTTTCTCAAATCCTGAAAATGCTTAAGAGCTATCTTAGGGAGGAAAGTAATCCAACAAAGTAATCCGGAATCTGATTACATTTTCCAATCAAAAAATTGTGGATTACGGATTACGAATCATTTCCAGAGCTATTGAGGATTATGGATTACGGATTACTTCAGGATGTAAATATTTATTGGATTACTGGATTACGGATTAAGTAATCTGATTACTTAATCAGATTAAAGTAATCTTAGGATTGCCCATCCCTGGTTATCGACTATCATCGATCAATACCAATTTTTTTCCCTATTATTCTTCAAAATACAGGGGTACGTAATCATTAAATACATGTACGCCTTGTTTTAAAAAAATTGTTACTTTTGTCTTTTGGTTTTTGTAACTTTTGCCACCTTGTCGACCACGATTTGCATCCCATTCTTTTAGTTCCATACTTTTCCCCCCGTAATTAAAAAAATAAACAAATTTTTACGGATTGAAATCCACGAAAAAAAACAATTCTTTGCTTTTCTGTTTTTATGGATGCAGCCCCCATATATTTAGTAAAATTGTGGCACGGTGGAAAGAGAGGGACCAACTGATAGCTGGATTTGGTCAACGAACAGGTTTACCTTGAGATGAGCGAAATCTTGCTCATGACAGACAGATCGAATTTCACACGTGGATGAGGATGGGTTTCTTCAGCTCACGATAAATCATCATGATGATGAACTTGTCCAAAGTAACAATTTCTACATGAAGGCAAAACATGGGCCATTTTTTACATGTTTTTTTTGCCCTAACCTAACCGACACGATTGAATCACCATCTACAAGCAAATTATTTAACGGCAAGATAAATGTCTGCATTTATTTGCAGACATGAATATGTAAGGGGCCGTTCGTAAATTACATATGTCACAAAAATGAGGGGGGAGGGGTCACATGTGTGCGTGAGAGGTGAATTTACGCCACGTATTAAAAGGGATGTAACACGTGACAAGAGGGAACGCCGGTCTAAAAAACACGATTTGTGCGTGCCATAATTTACGAAAGGTCCCTAATTGTCGTGCAATCCATTTCTCCTTGGCACCATCCAGTTCGTCATGCAATTAGATAATTACTGTGCAAAAGTTCCAAAAGTGCAAAACCAGTTCCAAAAGCAATCCAGGATCTAAATTAGTTTTCCTGCATTCATCTCATATCACTTAGGAGGACACCTTGTGCAGAGATTTTACTCCTGTTTTATTGATATATTTAGGATATGTTCCCCTTCAAAGTCATATTCCTACTCGCTCTTGTCACCTTTTTGACCAGGATTTCTGACGCACTTCCTCCCGAACCGGTAGGACCATATTATGGATTTCCTTATAAACCAAGTGTCGCTAAAAATTTGATCATCCCCTCAACCTCGTATGGGAAATGTGAGGTGAGGAGTGGTATTTTTGTATTATATTTATTTTATTTTAAGATTGGGGAAATAAAAAAATCGGGAAAATTTGGAATTTGTAAATTCCCAAAATATCAGGATTGCGAATCTCGACAATCCACATGATAAAATACCCATATAATTTCTAGGCAGGAAAATCCTACACAATATCGTCGATAGAAGACCTCAAAAAGCATGAGGCGGAACTTCAATGCGTATTCGCTATTGGATTAACCCCTTCCAAAGTTCCTGTCGGCCCACTTCCCGGGGGGTTATTGTTATTCCTCAATTCTCGCCTTGCCCCTGTCAATCCCACCCTGGTTGGCCTCTTGTGGCATGGATATTTCGCATTTAAGGCCGACTGTACAAAAAATTCGGCCCAAGTAGTTGTAGGATTCCATAACGTGTTAAATAATCGCGCCATAGTTCCCGGGCTTTTCACAGTTGGTCGTCTCCAAGGTAATTTTGCCCCTGGGGAATATGAGGATGGAAAACCTTCCCTGCTTATCGATTTTACTCAAGATTTGAACAAGATGTGTCCCGAGTACGCGGAGTTTGTGACTAAGAACAAGGACTCACTCCCAACATCGGTGAAAGGGTTGACCAACTTTTATCCGGCAAATCAACTACTCGACGCGTGGCGTTTGGTCGGAATTAACGCGAAGGACGGGGGAAAGATTCTGCTGGGGAAGATTTATGTGAGGGATATTTTCAGAAGTGATAAACAGCTCGCGACAGCGGCATTCGTCTACATGTTGAGTTATGATGAAGGACTAAATCCCGAGTATCGGGGGGAAACTGTAACACTTTTGGTAAAGTTGAAACAAAATTCAAGTATTGGTAAAAAACAAAGACAAAAAAAGGCTGTAATGTGGAATTTCTTTTTGCATGCTTTCTGTTGCTTTATTGCTTTTGACCTGTCCCTTTACTTAGGTGGTGTATAGGAACATATTTGCTCAACAAAAATTCTCCTAAGTATGCATTCACCCGGGATCATAAATTATATTGCCAAAAAGAAACCTAAGGCGCGACTGAAAACGGGAAACAAGCCCCCCACCCCCTCTCCTGATACCCGCAACAACCCGCACACAGCTACACCCTGTCTGGCCCAGTACGGTTTTCAATTTAGGCAATCTTCTTTTAAATTAAAATTAGTTTGTACAAATTTCACATTTCCGCTGCATGGTAGAAGCGAACGGATCGTATCATCGGGATGTTAATGTTTAATTTAGAAGGGGACAATGCCTCTAATTTCACTTTGGAAATTGATCCATGCATTCTGTTTGCCAAAGTTCGTCAAAAAATGGGCAGGCATTCTGACGTTGCGATCGAAGGATATACCCAGGTTGTAACTTTGATTTAAAAATTTGACACTACACTTGGCCCGGGCAAGACAGGGTGTGTAGCTCTGTGGGTGGAGTGCGGGTTGTTGAGGGTATCAAGAGAGGGGGTGGGGGGCTTGTTTCCCGTTTTCAGTCGCGCCTTGAGTTTCTTTTTGGCAATATAATTTATGATCCCGGGTGAATGCATACTTCGGAGAATTTTTGTTGCAGATGAACTTCTAGAAGATAGCCTAGGTCAATCAAGCAAAAATATAGCTTCTTTGCCTGGGGAAATACTGCGTAGTTCCACAAAAGTTTATTGTACTTTAAAATTTTTCTGAACCAAAATAGGGCTCGGATTTTGACTTCATGTTCCCCGGAGGTGTTGATTTAATTGTCAAGTTGCTTCCCCTTGACAACTTTTTGTCCAGGCCGATTGCAACCTTGACGAATTTGGGACTGGAAGCAAGGACATTTCTGGTTAATATATGGCAGGGAATTTTAGGTTTGTTTAAATTAAGTTACACTTTTTCAGGCAATTATTTAATATTAACTACGTTTATGTAGAATTTATTCAAAATATTGGATCAAGTAGAGCAAATTCAAGAAAATTGAGACAGTATTTTCAAGATGTGGAAGGAGCTAAAAGAAATACAAGAATTTGGAATAATTCTTCAGAAATATGATATAATTACTTTGTAAATTATGTGTAATTCAATTAATCAAGTACAGCCTCGAACATTCTGTTAGGAAAAATATTTCTTTCTTAGGAATGTTTGTCTGTAGTTTACTTTATTACCCTAAATATATTGAAAAAACAATATTGAGATACTTTTGTGGTGTTTATGCACTACTTTCAATTTCATGTCCATAATTTGGTGTTTACACACTTGCATTTTATTGCCGCTGTATTTACTTTTGCTATTATAGTTGCCTTTCTCATGACGGTTGATATCGTGAGATCATTCCTGTATAAATACCATTCGATCTGACTTAATAAATAGTAGTTGCTCAATTATTTAAAAGCACCAAAGCAAGTAAACCATCATAACACATTCTTCTCGCGAAGGTCTAGCAGCCAGACAAATTTAATTTTTATCCAAAAGTATTATTGTGCAAATTTATCGTCCAAAATAACGGAATATATATATCATTAACCTCTTTAGGGTGAAGCACTCGCATTTGCGAAACATTCTACTTTCGCTTGGATCCGAAAAACAGTGTAGTCTTAAATTTGCCTATAACAAGACTATCTAAAAAAAAGTGCCATTTTCACCAAACAAGGCCATTTTCGTCAAAATCGGTTCAGTGGTTAGTGTCACGGACGGACGAACACGATGTGTACGTGAGCCCTTTGTTCGGGGCTAAAACCACACGTTCTTATTAATTACATACTTTGTAGTACACAAATCACAAGAACATAGGAGCTTAAATTATGCCTTCTAATTGAATAGTTTAAGTTGGGTTTTAATACTTGTGAAAGTGACGAATTCTGAGGTGACTTAAAGAAGGATATTCTCGGCATTTGGCATTGAAATATTAACTTTTCAGGCAAACCAAACATGCGGCGATACTGCACGCTGATCCTACCCGTGGTGGTCACTTTGTTGATGGTCTGTCTTTCCAGTTTTGAAGGATTTGGCGGAATGGTATATTCGTTGCAAATAATTATAAATCCGTGATTATTAAATGAATTATAAAAATATTTTGTATTTTAGTGTAAGTCGTGCAAAGATTGGCATGGAGAAGAATGACAGGAAGGAATTTGTGAAGTACCTCCTTAGCTAACAGAATAGGATCGGAGGGCTCAACAATGATGTCTGAACATGATTGCTAAACATGTCGAATGTAAATCCAAGCACTTCTTTGGGGTGAATTTTTAAACTGTCTTCTGCTTCATGGAAATTGTATCGTTTATCCTAATAAATTAATTGTATAAGAATTACATATATTGTGGGCATAAAAATATCTACACGTGCCTAATGATTTGAGAGCATCCTCCACGTCACCTCCGCCGGAATATTAACAAACTAATTTGGCATGCACATGCATTGTGACAGGGCTAACACATTCCCCTACAACTGGAACATCCTGCCGAGTCCGCTACACCCACCAGTATGGAATCAGTTTGTAAACGAGTCACTGGATGGGCCGCCATTAAACCCACCACAATTGAGACGATGACTGTGCCCTGCCAGAAGAGTACATTCGTGTTAAGACGAAGCGGGGCATCAGCGACAAATGTTTTCGCATGGAGTGGGAGAGTCTCTCTACCAACGAGCTTTCACCTCTTACCAGCAAGTTATCAAAACCATCCCCCCTCTCGACGAGAAGGAAGCGACGCTACCTACAATTGCTCATTCTCCCCAGCCAGACTGCAGCAAAATGCAATTTACCTTAGCCCACTACCCACCATCGATTACAACAAGGCCGCCTATATTTTTTTTAAATTTCAAAGTTGGTAAAACTTTGAAACGTCTACGACTACGTCTGTCATTGATTTCCATCAGATTTACATGAAGATAAAAAATGGAAAAAGGTTCTCAATCGACGTGCAATCACGTTGGGTAAAGAATTTGTTACATATCTTTTTAACTATTAAAATGCAATTTTATAAAAAAAAGTCTAAATAAAACCCAACTAAAACCAATAAAACCCAGGGTCGGAGTCCTATGATAGGATGTGCAATTATTTTTTAGCATAACTAAGCACCAATGTGCTTAGTTACCTGCGAAATAACATTAGCCTGCACATTGATCAAAACAAATTCCGCTTGGAAACTTTGTGATTATCAGAGGTAAAACTCAATCTGCTAGTAATTAAAAGTAGATTATTCTCATAATATTTATATGTACATACATAAATAATAATAATAATGTATTAATAATGTTATTAATACATATTAGTACTAGCAGCACTTCTCCGAAATAATATTAATAATTAATGTGCCGGATGAGGTATTACCATGGCATATTTGCTAATAAACGGTATCCCAAGAAAATGATATTTATATATATCATACATGTGACCACACATGTGTGAAAATGTGTGAAACCGTGTCACACATGCTTTTTCTGAATTATTGTGTGGGTGTTGTGCTGCGGGAAAAAATACGGTGCATATTTTGTGTGGGTGTTATAATGTGTGGTTTAATTGCACAACACATATTGAAATGTGTGGGTGTTGTGCTGTGTGTTTTATTTTAAATTAGGTGTGGGTATTGTGTTGTGTGTAATTGTACCACACATGTTAAATTTCTTGGGTGTTGTGTGAAAAAACACGGTGCATATTTGTGTGGGTGTTATAATGTGTGGTTTAATTACACAAAGTCATGTTTTGCGAAATGACGAGACTGCATTATTTTAGTCTCACCTTGCTCTATGCAACTTTGCGAGAACAATAAAAGCAGATGTCACAAGAAATTTAATTGTCATTTTATTTAGTAATTTTTTCCCAATAAATTAAAACTATTCTTTTTGGAGAAATGAGATATTGAAACAGGTAAATTATTTTTAAAACTGCATGCCCAAAACGAATTTATACTTATACTAAGTAAAAAAACAACTAAAATATTTCAGGGACGGTTAGGCAGGATGAATCTCATCCCACGTTCGGCACTGACTCATAAATCTGGAATGCAAGCGATACAAAATTTTGCTTACCGAATGCCACCATGACTCTGGTGTAACTAATGTTTTTATTACTCCGCGTTATATACTACACCAATTACACAGATTACGTCATTAACCAACCTTTACAAATTTTGCAATTAGAACTTGTCCAAAAGTTCTAATAATCTCGGATCCATCATAATGCAACTGTTACGATTTTAAATGGGCTTCGTGGGGTAGCGTGTCGATAAATCATGAACTCATTTATAATTGCCGCCTCGTCTTATGACTTCCGCCTAAAAAAGTTTACGTAATCTTTCACTTGCACTTTCCAAAAATCGCTCATATCCGCGTTATAGCTGTCCTTCAGGAAATGCAGTATGGGATAATTTTAGAGTGCCGATAAATCCCTCATTAACTACCGGGGGAATCAAGAGGGTATTATTTATCTAAACATTATAGGGCATCCATGTCATGGTTCTTACGGGACTATTAGTCTCGATTGCCGTGACAGACGGGTATATTTATATGCCAAATTATCAATAAATCGCAACTTTGTTGTATAATGTGGCCACTTCAAAAATGATTTATTAATCAAATGTGGAAAATTCTGCATCTTCGCTGATATGCTTGGAATTAAATCGTACAGAAACAAGTTTAAAATATTTTTCTCCTGGCATCTCAATATAATGTAGGTAGATCTGAAATTTTGAAATTCGTATTTTTCATAGACATATTAGACACCAGAGATTCTTCTGCGCTATCTAGCCGGAATACAAAATTTACAATAAAAACACTAATTTGAAAGTGAGACGGAGAAAAGACGATAATAATTAATAACTAAAAAAACAACCCATACCAATTGCTTGCTCATATATTTATTTTCTCTTGCCAACAATTACGATATTTACATCATTACTAAATTACTATCATCAATGCTATTCAGCAGGTTACGTAATGGTGTGTCACCCGTATTTATCTCAATCAGACTAACTCAAAAAATTTCAATTTCGAAAGCAATATAAGTAAAGTTTTGATAAAATTTAACTATAACGTGACAACGACAATTTTGACTGGTTATACAGGAATTGATTGCGGGTGGCGAAAAATATTTCTGGGATCAATATTTCGTTTAACTTGAATTAATCGGTCAAGATTTGAGCCATAGTATCGTTGCAGATGGTCAGTCAATGTTGCATCGGCATAATTTTGATACGCCTCCGTGTGGCGGTAGACTTGCGTCGTTATCTCGTAGAATCGGTTAAGCCAGGCGATCGATGGGTGGTTTGGATTCATGGTACCCTTCCCATTGAAGAATGCTTGGACCAGGTATAGGTTTCCGTGTCGGTGGTTAAAAGCGGTATCCTGGGTGGAACTCATGTCATCAATGGCACCCCCAAAAGCATACATTTCTATGATGATGTCCTGCACGCCTTGAACTGTCTCCTCGAGGATGAAATATAATGTCTAAATGTCGTCATATGCGATGAGATGGCTAAATTTAAAAAATTTCCAAAACAAATATATTAATTTATAATCAACTTGTTCCAAACTTAATATTTATATTAGAGAAATTCGCTGGAAGGTGAGGGAAAGGATGGCAATGGAGGCAGTGGAGGAAATGGCAATGGCAATGGCAATGGAGGAAAGGATGGCAATTTATAATGGAGGCAGTAATTAATAACCTCCTCCAGTGGCTAACCCGACAATCCCAACTGTTGGACAGGTTCCCTGCGGTGTGACCAAGTTGTATCCTTCAAGAAGTGGGTAAGCTAGTTGGCCGAGAAGGGCTCCCGACCCGATGGTAAATGATTGACGATCCGGGCTGACAACGAGCTCATGCAGGGCTTGAAGGTCTACTATCAGAGCTGTGCTATCCCCAAAGGAGTATGCCTCGTATGAGTGGCCACCACCCTTTGCTACTATCCTGACGGACTGTGAAATCGAATTAACTAATCAATAATCAGTCAGTCAATCAATTGAGTGGAATATTCAATCCATAAGACATGTTTTAATTGAAAAAAACCTGGAAAAAACCTGGCCTCACCTGTGCAGTACAGCACCTAACCGCATTTTGAACATCTGTCACACTTCTCACCACAAAATAAGCGACAGGAAACTTTTTTTCATGGATAAGATTCCATTGATAATTTAGCTCAGAGTATTTTGCATAATCGGGACCATCGTGTTCCACGATGTCGGAAGCATTCGATCCAGCCTGGACAATACAGTCCTTCAAGGCACTCAATGTCCCTTGCTGTCCTGGTTTTCCGTGACAATTACGCACTACCAAAAGTAAGGCGAAAACAATAATATTGCGGGCAGCAGCCAAAGTGCGCCTCATTTTTAGCAAATTATTTAAATTGGGGAGCAGTGTTTTGTAACCCGACACTCGGCAACAACTGGACAGTGATTCTCCGCTACAGCATGATTTATAAAACTTCAAATTGTAATTATTATATTTAATATAATCAAGCCTTAATTGAAAGTCAAGTTGCGCAAGTGATCACGCGACCTCAACTTGATCTGCACGAAACACGATAATTTTTTGAGATAACCGCAGACACACATTCCTACGTATGATACCATCCCTGGTTTCAACAATTGTTTAATTTTAATCACCACGAGTCTGCTTAATGGTCACAATATTGTGTAGAACATATCATCAAGTTTTCGAGAGAGGGGTGTGTGCAAAACTGTGTGGCTGAGCGACTTATCTCACAAATTAATTAAGTTTGGGCTTATCGTTCGTCATTTCAGTATTGTCGCATCCACCCCTCCAGATTGTATCGGTCCTGTCATCGCCCGTAATAATTTTTGCCGTATACTATAATGTCAATGTATCTACATAAACCATTTTTTACAAGTTCATAAATAGTATTTATGTAAAGGGTGTTTATTTCATACATATTTTGTCACGCGTTCTATACAAAATCGGCTTTAATTTTTGATTCCGTTAATTATTTTGTTTGACATTTTTACCATGGGCGGAATGAGGCTATGTGCTAATTATAAGCATCATAGCATTTTGGGTCTTCGAAAGGGGAAATTTAAAGCGCCAAAAAAATCCCGCACAATTTTAATGCACAGGAAAAATTACTTGCGTGTGTAGAAACGAAAATTTTGTCAAGAATGAAAAACGACCTAAGCAACCCAGAAGGGTCCCATCTACCAGAAAAACAATGACTATTGTTAAACTTCATGAGAAAACTTGAAGTTTTTGTCCAAATTGTCCGAGAGATTGGAAAAGTGTAAAATGAAATAAATGAAAATCGGGCATGAACATCCTATTGTGCTGAAAACTATGGTCGAATCTGTATTATGTGGTCACAAAACTTACAGTGTAACAAAACAAAAGCATGTGTCGCAAAAAAATGGTGGCGTCCGTGTTAAATTTGCGTAAAGGCTATGAACAAATGGGTTTTTGACCACGTGAGGAATTGCATCATCACATCCTCTTCACGATTGTATCGCAGATTGTGTTATATCCAAAATTACACTGACAAAATTGGTGATACAGAACAGTAAGGAAAGTACACCAATTGGTGACAGGGATCCTGAAATTTGAGGTTGAAGTTGGGGTACCAAGCGGATTTTGTGAGCGATGAAAATCAACTTGCATGGAGCATAAACATTAAAGCTGAGGGCATGGCTGAAGTGCATGCTGGAAAGACCAAACACCAAAGTATCTCTGAATAAAAGTTGGCTTTGCTTATACCTGTAGTTTCGAAAAATAAGAATTTTCTTTGCAGTGAAAAAGGTTACCGAATTAAATAAACACCCTTTAGATTGTGTAAAATGTAGGAAATCATAAGAAATAAACAATTTCTTTACAAATTTAAAAACAAAATCTTACAAATTGACGCCCCCAAAGTAAGGGATTTTGCCATAATTTGTATAGATAGTAAACATTTTCGCCCATGATTGACGTGCCGGGAGAGATAAAAACACAGTTTGAGCACAACATAATGACGCAGATTATCTGCACCTTTGATCATAGATTGAAACAAACTTACATTTACACTGTTCAATAAATTACGTCACAATTAATAAGCCCCGGTTACTGAATAATATTTTCTTTCGAGTGGGTGTGGCCGGGGAAAGTGGGGTTTGGAAGATTTCTTACAATTTTGTGACTCAAAATTGTGGGGGGTGGCACATTCCCCTCCTGAATCCAAAAGTGTCGTCAGGCCGAGCAGTCCACAACTTGAAGTAAATTGGAGAAAAGTGGGCGTGAAACCATGTAAAACGCCTGGCACGATGTCACCGTCACCTACTCCAATTTTTTTTTACTTGCACTGCCCTTGTAGCCTACCAGGAAATTTTGGGAAGGTTGGTTAAAATGGGGATGTCCCTTAACGTCGAAATTTAAAACTTTCAATTTAATTAATTTTGGATGAGTACAAAAGTGACGTGTCCAATTTAAGCTCCCGCTGATGAAAACAAAAATTCAATTAATTAGTTTCAGAATAATGTTATTATGTTTTCGATGCATTTCTAATTTGTTAGTCCATTGTCAAATAATTTGTATTGTTGAGCCTAACTTGGTTAAATTTTGGTGAAAATTGCCATCTTCGACAATCTAGAAAATCCTTATGATTTTTATATCATATTTATCAACGTGAATAATCTTTAAAATAGAAAATTGGGCTTTTAGTTTAAATTTAAAAATAAAATATTAATTCTAACATATTAAATAATTTCCAGTTTAAATTTTAATATAAATTTATCAAGTACTTGAATCTATCTTAAATTAATATATATTTAATCGTTGAATAGCAAATTGTAGCAAGAATGGAATCCAGAAAAGAAATGTATGTAGCACTTAAGTGCTTTATATTAATAACATGACTAGCGTGATTGAGATTCCAAGATGAACTTTTCCATTTGAATCTTCTATCTGTCGAATCAGCCATACTTGAAATATTTCTACCAGTTTAATTAACTTAGAATGCACATTGAAGTGAAATTCAAATGAAACAGAGTAAGTTAATTGCTGATAGAGAAAATCATTAGAAATAATTATCTTCTTTCCTGGTGTATACACCAAACTTGTATTAAACTCATCAAGTCCATTAAATATACTGACCTACTTGTGGATGTATCCCATTAAATCAATTAAATCCGGCCTGGATTAATCCACCCGAAACCCCGGGCACATTTTTAGCTTATTCCTTATCTCGATTTAGCTTCAGGTTGCCTCATTGGTAGTGTCAATCTCTGGGATAAAATATGGATGCAAAATTTCGATGCAAAATATAACACTTAAATTCGTTTTCTGCAACAATTTTAGTTTGCATCTAAATAAGTGCGTTTTTAAACAGTTTTTTAGTCCAAGAGTTTGATGGACTGGCTCTGTGAGGGATTACCCTCCTCACGCACTTACAATGCAATGCCGTGACTTCTTTATCCCCAATCTTAATGGGACTAATAATTAGTCACTAATTTTAATTTGTTCACATCCAAAAATAAGCGCACCTGTATTTTCGATCTAGCGATAATGCCTACATTTGAGCGCCTGGCGGGAAGATTCAAATTATTTTTCAGTCAAATTTTCGGATTTTAAAATCGCTGTACCTTTTTGTATTTTGGCCCAAATTTATAAATTTAAGAACATGTATGCTTAGAATTACCTGTTTTAGTTTTTTTAAATCCAATTTCAAAAAATTTTGAAAACTCGAACTTTTATCAAGTTTTGGGAATTTAAAAAATTTTGGAAAATAGCAAAACTCTAAAAAATTTGAAATTTTTAGAAATTCCAAAAACTATTATTGTTACTAAACACAGGAGACAACTCTGGATGCGTCGCAATCAAAAAAAGAGGCCGCCCTAATTGTTGAGGTCATCAACTTAATGTGATTGACACTTGAATAAAAGCAAATTGAAATTATTATTACCACGAGTGGTATTCCGGGTGAGCAACTTATCCAAATTCAACCAAATAGTAGGAAAAACTGATACTTGTGTACAAAATATTCTTAATGTTGGAACCATAAAGTCGGAAAATTCGACAGAAGTTTGCTAATATTTCTGTCCTCGGGCAAAGCGAAGCTACAGCATTTCGAAAGTCGTACTTTGTAAGTTTTATTGCGAATTAACTTATATATATATTTATCCAGTTCTGTGCGTCTGTCCGTTGGAACTAGTGCATCCAAAATCGAAAGATTTTGTAAAACCGGTTTTCGATTTTTCCGATTTTGGTAAACTTTTGTAAAACCGGTTTTCGATTTTTCAGATTTTAGCAAAATGTTCGTAAAACCAGTTTTCGATTTTCTCCAAAACCGGTTTTGCCGGCCCTAGTTGGAACGCATCCCTTCTATGCATTATTCTCAGCCTATCTCATAATGTATTACCGAGCAGCCAGATCAGCAGCCAGAGCCAGAGTCGGGCCTCCTTAGGTTACTCCATAGGCCAGACCGTAGGCCAGATCGTCCGAGGAAGCGAAACTATCGTGGTCCCACGGGCACCACTAAAATGCATAGTAAAATTTATAATCATGCAATAATAATAAATAAAATTAATTAAGGTCTGAACATATATATTTCGCATCTGTATGCCAACTATTAACAACACTATGCAACCAGTTAAATTACTTCATACACACACTGATGCATGTACTAGTGCAATGATGAAAAAAAATATTTTTAAAATTTCAATATTATCCATGTATATATTTCTTTAATTTTCACAAACATTAAGGTCTAAAGATTGTTTAATACAAATGCAGAGATTTTCCAGACATATTTGTTATGCCTGACCAAGTCTACAGAGTGTGGGAAACTCGCTGAGATTTGTTATAAATCAATTTGTTAAACGATGTCATTTAGATGACATCGAAAAAAACTTATGCCGAAAAAACTTATTACAATAATACTTTACTTACATTAACATTGCTAATGTGAACTATGTACGAACAGAAAATGTTGCTACGAAGTAAATCAAGTTATTTTATTTACGTTGCGACTCTGATAAAAACGAGACCCAGACAGACATCTTACTTACATGCAGTCCAGACGTGGCACGCCAAACCACAAAACTCGGACATATGTACATTTCATGTTGACATTATGTCTCCTTTTCTGAGATTATTTCCACAGGAGGCAAAAAAAATCACATTCTTCTCCACTTAATATTGCTGTGAATTTTCATCCTTTTATTTTGAAACGCAGTCCGATCTACGACACATTTATTTTTTACTTTATGAAATGAGTTTGTTTGATGAATGTATTTGTGTTGATAGATAATAAATCCTGCAGTACAGAAGTAATTCTTTTATTTACCGATCTGTTGCTCGTATCTGCTGGATGCGAGACAGTCGGGGTGAACGCGATGTTTTGGGGTCGAACATCGCTACATAATATTTTAAACTGTTAGTTTATCAGATTCAGCTAATTTAATTCTTTAAAAAAAATATTAAATATTTTCACCATATCATGTGGCGTTAAAATCAATCATTTTTATTTTGAAATAAATAAACACTTTCAAAAATTTAGTTTAAATGTACCGAGAACATATAACTGTAAGTTACTTTTCCGTTTCGCAATTTTAGAATTAATAAAGTGCGGCAATGCACGATACATAAGTAGCGCAATAATGCTGAGAATGCATCACAAAATAAACCAAATAATTCTCCGAGTCATGTTTTAATAATGCCCCAACATCAATTAATTAATCTATATTATAATTTCGAAAAGTCCATCCCGTGAAATTTTCCGTGACATTCCAGCATTCTGATTGGCTGTTGGGGTTCTAGGCCCACCAATTATGATTATGGTCATGGTTATGGTTATGATTATGGTTATGATTATGGTTATGATTATGATTATGGTTATGGTTATGATTATGGTTATGGTTATGGTTAAGATTATAGTTATGATTATGATTATGGTTATGGTTATGATTATGGTTATGGTTATGGTTATGATTATGGTTATTGTTATGATTATGGTTATGGTTATGGTTATGGTTATGGTTATGATTATGGTTATGGTTATGGTTATGGTTATGGTTATGATTATGGTTATGGTTATGGTTATAGTTATGGTTATGATTATGGTTTTAGTTATCATTATGGTTATGGTTATGAGACCACAAATTTCCTTCGCAACGTCAAAAAAATTCCTAGCAACGTAAAAAAATTCCTTAGCAACATTAAAAATATTCCTTAGCAACGTAAAAAAAATTGCTTAGCAACTTTAAAAAAATTCCTTAGCAACATTTAAAAAATTCCTTAGCAACGTTAAAAAATTCCTTAGCAACGTGAAAAATATTCCTTAGCAACGTGAAAAATATTCCTTAGCAACGTAAAAAAATTGCTTAGCAACGTAAAAAAATTGCTTAGCAACATTAAAAAAATTCCTTCGCAACATTAAAAAAATTCCTTAGCAACGTTAAAAAATTCCTTAGCAACGTTAAAAAATTCCTTAGCAACGTGAAAAATATTCCCTAGCAACGTAAAAAAATTGCTTAGGAACGTAAAAAAATTGCTTAGCAACATTAAAAAAATTCCTTAGCAACATTAAAAAAATTCCTTAGCAACATTAAAAAATTCCTTAGCAACGGAAAAAAATTCCTTGGCAACATTTAAAAATTCCTTAGCAACGTGAAAAAAATTCCTTAGCAACATTTAAAAAATTCCTTGGCCACGTGAAAAAATTGCTTAGCATCCTTCAAGAAATACCTTAACAACCGTGAAAAAAATTAACAGACAAAGCAAATACTGTTATAGCCATATTGTTTTATTATTTGTGGTCTTATTTACTCCATAATAATTTTTATTTTTATTCATTATAGTTAAGTTGTGTTCGCAGAGTTGAGAGAATGCGTTGTTACAAATTATTTATAAAAAAAGCTAAACGACGGGCGCTTCACAAAAAAAATCCCTATCC